ATCTGATAATCAAAAAGTGGTATCTCGTCTAATTTACATTTACTTTATGAGAATAGTTGTACATAATTTCGTTTTAGAACAATTTGAATACCATTTTCTGAGAAATGATTATTCATATCCTATGACTATTTCTCTATTGGTTTGTAGGATTTCATCTTTTTTATTTTTGGTGAGGAAGATTGGCTCTAAGCTAACTTCTGTGCCAACTCCTGTTTTGTATATGGGTCACCACCACAGCATGGCTTCACGAGTGGTGTAGGTCTACACCTCGGATCCGAACCTGTGAACCTTGGCCGTTGAAGCAGAGCACACAAACTCACCTGCTATGCCACTAGGCTGGCCTCTGGATTTCGTCATTTTGATTTATAGCCACTCTTTACATAGTTGAGATAGCAGGCCTTGGCCTGTGATAAGAATTGCAAATATTTTTTTCTAGCTTCTCATTCATTTTTTGATTTTGCTTATTGCTGTTTTGTTCTGTATTTGTTAGTTTGCCATGCAGAATTTTGTTTTTGGAGCTGAATTTATCTAATATTTCTTTTATGGCTTTGGATTTTGAGCCATGGTTTTAAAAAGGTTTCCCCTCTCTGATGTTATCAAAGAATTCTCCCATGGTTTCTTCTGTTAAGTTTATTATTTCATATTTTGCGTTTCAATCTTTGATCCGTTTGAAATGTATCCTGGTGTAAGCGTATGGATAGAACTCTTTGTTAATTGACTGAATTCTAATTCTTATATTTAGAGAAGAACAATTTATAGGAAATTATATGTAGGATAAGAAAAAAAATAGCCTTGAAATTTCAAGCAAAGAGAAAATGAACAATTGCTCTTCTTAGATAACTGCAGCAGCTGAATTTCTTTCCGTTTTCCTGGTGTGAAAGCATACTCAATATTCTTCTCCCTCTTTTCAACAGTTGTCACTCATTTACTAAAAATATTAATCTTCACGGTGAATTGAATTAAAAATTACAGTTGGTAACAGTGAGCGAAAATTTCTGAAGATGACATGGGTGATGGGGCATTATTTGCCCCTTTGCGAATGATCCTTTTTGCGTGGGCATCCTATCTCCTTTATCTCCAGTGCTTTAAATGCCTCAGTGCAATAGCAATATAATCATAAAAGCTAATTAGTAAAGATTTTGTGTCTTGTTAATGATGTACAATTGATTATGGCTCGAGGACAGAATGAGACTAACCATTCATCCGTGATGAGCATCGCGTTTTATCTTCCCCCAATATGTAGGTGATGGCATTTTTATTACTGTTTTTCTATTATGTAGACATCTAAACCAACTCACCAATCTGTTTTCCTCTAGCATCATCTCTTACTGCCACCAAACCTGAGCCTTTTAAAAATGTAGAGATCATTCTGGCTGCCTGATTACAGGAACAATGAGGAAACTTAATTACACATGGACCAACAATTAGGGCATCTCTTCACCACTTTATCTTTGCCTAGTTTTTTAAACTATGCTTTTCTCCCATAAAGCCATAGGCCATAATTACGTTATACAAGCGCCTGATTAAAAATAACTTTAAAGTAGCCACTTAAATAACTGTAATCCTTTTTTCTGAACCTTCTCATACTCATTAATTCTTTATAAATAAGTAGATGTAGCTAGACATAGATATGGAGAAATGTTAAAATATTTATGTAGAGAGGGAAGAATATACAGAGACTCTGGGACTCCCCAGTAAAGATCCTTTCTCAGGAGTTTAATCCCTGCCACCCTTCCTCCTGAGTCCAATTCCTGTCTTCCTTCTTCCCTCACTCTCTTCCTTCTCTTGCTTCTCTTAACAGTTACCTTCTCTACTTCAAGAGACTCCAAACTGGAAGCCGTGAGCATCTGTAGCTCCCTTCTTTGGGGGATGGTCCAGTACCCAATTTTTCAAAGGGATGGGTGCTTGGCTGGTCTGGATGGCACAGCTGTGATGAGGAAAGTACATCACAGGTGCAGAACTTCAATGGGTAAGGATTAAGAGTTTGTTATGACATGGCTCTTCCCTCAGAAGGTACAACCAAGACAGTAATTCTGGCATTCTAATTCCCTGTGGCTATTTCCTGACATTTGAAAATGTCCAAAGATATTCTCCTTGGATGCCTGCAGAGCAGCTCGGGGACCTTCACTCCCGTGACCGAGGGCAGCCACACCCCCTGCACGAGACGGAAAACTGCCCTGGCTCAGTGCTATTCCCACTGTGTCTGTCCCCACTCTCCTTCCTTTCCTCGGACGGTGGAGCCCAAGGTGCCCTGTGGCTGGTGGGACAACCTCAGAAGCTCAAAGTGCAGAAGATGAAGGGAGAATCTTTCATAGGAAGAAGCACTTGGCAGTTTGGGGATTGGACTTAGACATCTCTTCACGTAGAGGGCTCTCCTCTCTGGCGCTCGTTGGTTTGCTTGGCCACGGCTTCATTACATCTGGGCTGCTGGGCCACAAGGGGACAGATGCGTGGGTTGGGTGGGGGATAGAACAGAAGAGGATCTCTTTATTCCCCCCACCCCACCCCAAGGCCACTAGAGTGCGATCTAAATGGAAAAGCAGGAGCCTCTTTCCTTCCTCTTTGCCCGAGGGTAAGAGGGAGATAGCAGCTGAACTGGAAAGACCGAACAGAAGGCATGGGCTTGGGGGGGCTGTGGTTTTCAACCTTCAAAACTAGTGTCCTCAGAGGAGGAAAACAGCATGCTCACCCAGCCACTCACCCTTCTCCTTAGCCGGTGGCTCTTCACTGGACAGAAACGTCTTAAAATTAGAGCTTGAATATTTGGACTATCAAAAAAGAGGATGGTACTGAATGTGAGTTCCCAACAGGCTTGAAGAATTTGTTCTGATGGCTTTTAGAGACACCAAATGTCTAGCTAAACAGCAGATCAGGAAATAGAGAGGGTTGCCAATGGGACACGAGCTCTTTGCATCAGTTAGAGAATGACTGCTGCCATGTACACATCCCACAAAGCTAACATCCGACTATTCACAAGTTTGACTTGCAAGGTGTTTTTCATGGCAATTCTGCTTTTGTTCAGCACAGGCCTAGACTGTAGGACGCTGTGTGGGACCCACCTTCGTAAGAGGCATTTAACAGTCGATATTTTAATACATGCTGATGGTTGCTGCTGTTCTGTCTTATATACTTTAACTGAACTTTTATGTTTTGTACTTGTGCCCTGAGGCAATTTAATCACAAAAGTTATAATTTTATATGTAAAAATGATAAATAAGTAAATGGTATCAAATTTCCAAAAGAGGGTGGCAGCAGTGGGAAATCATAGGAATAGTCACTCTTCACATCTCCCTTGTGAAATCCTTACAGTTCCTCCATCTTCCCCGAGTAGGGCAGTCCCTGGGCGGCACACTATTATTAAAGGAACCAGACATCTCCCCCACTCAATAAAATGAACAGAATATTAAGGACCATATCCATCTCCCCTTGCGGTTGCTACTGTTTACGAGAATGTCGCAAGTTTCCTGAGGCCCTTTGTCCAGGCATCCATCTGCAGTCCCTACTGGCTTAAGACTCTTGCTCCATTGGCTCAGACCCGGTGTTTCCTGAGACCATGGACAGAAGCAGATGATCCTAAATGGCTGTGAGTCATCATGCTCTCACCGGCAACATCTTTCCTCTGTGTTCCCTCATAGAAATGTTCCCTGGGCTTCTAGAAACCCAAAGATACAGAACATGCTTAGAATTCCCTTCTCCACCTCAAGCTTCCCACTCTGTTCAAGCACACACAATGAAGGCAGAGGCACACAGAGCCTGTAAACCAATGAAGATGCACAAATGTGGCCAGATGCCCACCCCCAGCCCTCCCCCAAACCCCCTTCTGTGGAGGGGCATAAACTCAGGAATGAGGGGAGGGAGGCATGATGAGGTACAGCTCCCTGCACAGGCAAGTCATCAGAGAAGCCCCTCAAGCAACCCAGGGTCGGAAATGGGACAAATGCTCTTTCAGTATAAAAAAGTCAAAGTTCTGTCAACCTGAAGAATGTGAATCTGTTATGTAGACAAGATGAGGGTTTTCAGCCAGGAACTGATCCTTGTGGTGTAAACTGAGTCTGAATTTCTAGGTGGGATTTAAAAAAACCCAAGAGGGGCCGGCCCCATGGCCAAGTGGTTAAGTTCGCACGCTCTGCCTCAGTGGCCCAGAGTTTCCCTGGTTTGGATCCTGGGCGCGGACATGGCACCGCTCATCAGGCCATGCTGAGACGGTATCCCACATGCCACAACTAGAAGGACCCACAGCTAAAATATACGATTATGTACCAGGGGGCTTTGGGGAGAAAAAGGAAAAATAAAATCTTTAAAAAAATAAAATAACCATCATTAAAAAAAAAAAACCCAACAAACTGTCTGCAATCCTGAGGGAGAACCCCTCCTGCCACCCACTTCACACCATTCTGTCCTCCGCTTTGGACTCAGCGTCCCCTCTTTCTTATCTGCAGGGGTGAAATGAGGCTGGGAGAGACCCCTTAGAACCACAGCCCACTTGGGAAGCCGTGTAATCAACATGACACAAGTGGGGTTTGGGGACTGATAGGTTGTTCTAGAAAATGCAGGGACTTTGGGAGTGGCACAGAGATAACAGGAGAGAGAAAGAATATGGGAAGCAGGTGAAGTTGGAGAAGGCTAGAGGAGGCAGCCTTAGAGAAGGAGGGAACACTCATACGGGACACTCTCCAGTTCTGGGAGGGGAGACTTCCCATGCTGTCTTGGTCTGTTCAGGCTGCTGTAACAAAATACCACGGCATTGCTGGGTGGCTTATAAGCAACAGGAATTTATTTCTCACAGTTCTGGAAGCTGGGAATTCCAAGTTCAAGGTGCCAGCATGGTTGTGTTCTCCTGAAGTCCCTCTTCATGGTTCATCGTCGGCACCTTCTTGCTGTGTCCTCACATGATGGAAGGGAGGGGCAAGGGACCTCTCTGGAGCCTCTTTCTAAGGGCACCAATCCCATTCATGAGGGCTCTACCCTCATGACCTAATCACCTCCCAAAGGCCCCACCTACTAACACCATCACCTTTGGGGGTTAGGGCTTCAGCATACCAATTTTGGGGGGACACAAACATTCAGATCACAGCACACGCCAAATATTTTTCACTTGGAATTTCCTTCTCCTCCCCTTGGAGATTGTCCCCCTCCCCCTAAATTCTCTTTGACTGAATACCAGCTTCCCCTACTATGTACATGTGTTTGTGTTCATTTTGGGGAACTCGGCTCAAGGTAGTATTTGAATACGTAAAGGAGCTGCTCCCTCTTCGTGATGGCCATCAGTAGGCTCCACATCTTTTATGTAAGTACAGAGACAACTAAGCACATTTGCAGAAATCCAGCATATGCCTTGGGTAGGAGTTTGGTCACATCAAGAAGGACCATGAGGAGTTTGCAAGGGTCCATGATTTAGAAGGTAAAGATGTGATGGCCTTGGACAAGGTAGTTTGCTTGTCTTAGAGTGGGATGTGGGTGGGTAGAGAGTGAAGGGGACACAGTTCAGACTATTGGGTAGAAAGGAAGCTATGGAGCTACGGTAGCTACGGAGCCTGGTGCAGAGAATGAGGCTCCCACTGAAGGGTGGCCAGACTTAGCCTTGGCTGCCAGAATATCCTCAAGGCCCTCTGAAATGTTCTGAAAACAGCTAATTCATTTGGAAGAAGAAAAGGTTGGAGTCCACAAACATATATAAGAAACATGATAACATGGCAGAACGTTAAGTTTTATGGCCAACACAGTAGGTCCCATCACAAGACAGTGTGAGGTTTTGGCAGCAGCCTCAAAGTTTAGGGACCACCCAAACCTTCCCTTCCAGGACACAGAGCTCCAGGCCTGGCTTACAGGGCCTCCTTCTGAGGCTACTCCATTTCTTGCTTCTATTCTGGATGAGAGAGACATTTCACAGCAAGATGTCAACTCGCAGAGGCTTCCTTCCTGGTGGTGGAGAAGATGAGAACAGCATGGGCTCAGCAGGGCAGCAAGGTCTGTTGCAAGCTTGCCCAAGAACATGGAATTGTAGGAGCATAGCCAAAGAGGGTATGGCCAGGCTGTGCTCTGGAAGTGGTTCCCATAAGTCTTTCCATCTGTGTTAACTTGCCCACTTTCTCATTATGTGGTCTGATGGGGTCAGCATCCTGGGTCCATACTAACTCTAGTCCGTTCCGAGCGTTAGCCTAGAGTGACCAGTATCGAGTCAGTGACTGGCTACTTTCCTCTGCATATCCCGTGTGTGTGCCTTCACCTACAGCCAGATGGAGGCTGGGAGCGAAGAGAAGCTGCTTCTAGGTCCCTCCAGCTGGTGAGGTCTAGAGCACTGAATGGTTAGACTGTGTTCAATGGCTTACTGCAAAGTCAGGCATCTTCTGTGTTGTGGGTAGAGGTGGGTAGAGGACAATATGGGGAAGAGACTAGCACTCTCTGCCCGTGGAATTTTCCAGTTTGAGAGGATGCCTCAATGGACCCCATGTCCTCTGCCACCTTTCAACATCTAATGGAGAAGGCAGTTGGGAAAATGAACTATCGGGAGGTGCTGGTGTTCTCTGACAAATTATTACATTTAGAAGGGTTTTAGGGGAGCATAACTAATGGCGCCTTAACCAGGTACTGGACCGTCCCACAGGGGTATGTTTGAAACTAGCTTTTGATGTGTAGTAATTTTGTGGCCCTTCCATGAGTGATGCAGGACACCATATATGCTAACAAAGGGAATCAGATCCAGAATCTACTTCTGCTCTGTGCACAGGCCTGTCCTACCAACCATGGGGAACTAAGTGGGGTATGAGGGCTCAGTGGGTATTACCAAAGATCATCGCTAACCCGCCCAGTGACTTCACCTATGGCCTGAGGTAGCTGCAAGAATGGACGAAGGAATGGGCAGGTCCACAGCTTGCCTGAACCATGGGGAGCACTGGGAACTGAGACACAGCGTTTGGGAAGTTTGTGGACCACATAGTCAAAGTGCCAGCACTGACTTAAACCAAAGGGCCTTTTGTATGACACATAGAAACATGTTTTGAGCAGTGGGAGTTGAGTGTCTAGAGGACCTTCAGAGAAGGAATTGCGTTGCAATGGCTGGTTGGAGTCTGAAAGCAAAATCGATCGCCTCACTAGTCTTAACCACAGTTCTCACAGAGAAGTATAGGATTATGTGTGTGAAGAACTTTTCAAGAGTGGATTGATACTAACATTTTTACCTATGTATCAACCAGGGTGAAATTGGATGCTGCCTTGAAACCTGTTGAGAGACCACAATTTCAGGCTCTCGTACCAGCCTGGGCTTAGCAGTAGAGATGCTGATGCTATTGCAGGCAGCCAAGCTAACACAATCATCCCAGGGAGAGAGAAGTCATATAAGAGCAACTCTCTCCTGGCTCAAAGTCTGGGGCTCCCTCTGGGGCTCTTTGTATGCAGTCTCTTCACCAGAATGGGACTGAAGATAGAAGCGAGGGGATCCAGAGCTACAGAGAGAGCTGAGGGAAGGAGCTAGCAGAGAAGACGCTTGTTTCTTCTACAGGCCCGAGGATTCTGGTGCTGGCAGAAACAGTCACCAGGTAATGGGAGATAAACCCAGGTATAACAGTGTCCTGACTCAGAACCAGCTGATTTTGTCAACTTATGAATTCTATTCGTCCTAATGCCAAGGTGAAGCAAACCAGAAACAAAAATGAGAAGAACAGAGAAAAACAACAACATTTATTTATTCAACAAAGATTTATGAAGCATTTACTACACGCCAGGTCCCATTCTAGGCCCTGGGGATATGGGATTGAACAAAGAGACAAAAATCCCTGTCTTCTTGGAGCCAACATTCTAGTGGGAAGAGATGGACTGATAAACAAATGAACTAGTAAAGATGTAGTATGTCCAGTGGTGGTAAACGCTATGGAGCAATCATCGCTACCTCTTAGAGAGAACTTCTATGTGTCAGGCAGTGTTGGAAGCACTTTACAAATGTAAAGCTATTCTGCCCTCCCATAACCCTATTATTATCAAATCCCCATTTTAAGGATGAAAAAACTGAGGCCTCAGGAGATGGATGTAACCAGCCCAAGGTCATGCATCTGGGAAGCAGAAGAGCCAAGGTTCCCACCAGGCAGTATGGCCCCAGAGTCCATGTTCTCTGTCATCTCTGTATTGCCGAGGGAAGGGGGAAGGAGTGCTGGGGAGGGTCGGGGTGGGAGTGGCGATTTTAAATAGGGACATCATGGAAAGCCTCACTGAGAAGGTGACATCTGAGCAAAACCCTGCAAAGAGGTGAGGATGGCAGACAGGAGTTTCTCTGGGCGGAGAGCATTCAACAGCAAAAGCCCAAGGCAGGAGGGAGAGAGGAAGAATGAGGCCCGAGGGGCTGGCCCAGCTGGAGCCAAGTGACCAAGGGGGGCACCAGCAGGTGATGAGGCAGAGGTCCCTGGCCAGACTGCAGAGGACTCCGAAAAGCTTAGAGGGGCTGTGGCTTTTAGTCTGGCAAGTCTGAAGGGAGGAGCCACATGGCCTGATTTTTATATTGAAATCATTACTCTTCTTATTGTGTTGGGAATAGACTAAGAAGTTCCGGGGTAGAAAGAGGGAAAGCATTTAGAGGATTGTTGAATTCCTACAACCCAACAGCCGCCTCTCCTGTCACTGGGCAATGGGGATCAGCAGCCTGACCGTCCTACCTGGAGTCGCTCTGAAGTCTGTGTGAATGTGTCCCCTGCGGACTGGCTGGAAAGGATGGGGTAGATTCTGGTCAATGACGAAATACGAGTTTCCGTTCTTGGCTGCCTTGTGCTCACGAAATATTAATGATTCATGTTCTTGTTGACTTGTGTACAAGCTATTCACGCATACCTCATCTCACTTATTTCCCCCAGGGTTCTGATTCATTCTCCTTTCTTCAACTGATACTTCTGTGGGGATCACTTTGAACTCCCTAACTCCACCCATACTTCTGGAACTTCCAAGAGTGTAATTTATGATTCCCTCTTTCCTGTTCCACCAAACTCAGCTCCGCAGCTTCCCCTCCCACACCAGCTCTTCCTCTTTACTGCCCTATATCTTGACCATCAGTTCCCTTGGTTCAGATTTTTAGTTGTAACTCAATCCTTTGTTTTTCGCTTTCCTCCAAATAATTCTGATTCCTATAAATTATGCCTCTGAGACACCTTTTCTTCACATTTCCACGGCCACCATCTTTGTTCCAATTTCTCTTCCTCTGGACAACTCACAATCTGGTGAATTCCAAATTCACCCCTCACTATAGGCTCCTGTGAGCTTAATGTTGTCCAAGGTGAGCTGTGATCTTTGCTTCAAAATCTTCCACAGTTTCTCATTGCCTGGTGTACCAGATACAAATGCCCCCAGCTTAGCAGTCAATACCTTCCACAATACATCAAAATCTGCCTCCAGCTTTATTATTCCCTTGTATAACGTGTACATATCTAACACTCCAAGGCAGACGACTTGTGAACTTTCCACCATATCCTGCACCTTCCTGCCTCAGGCTCTAGAGTCCCATTTATCCTCTCCCAGTTTTCTCCAATACCTTCTCCACGAAGACTTTATTTCCCCAAACTGGAAGCAATTTCTCTCTCCTCTAAAATGCCATATTTCTCTTAAGCATTTGCAGTACAGACGTGTATATTTGTCCCATTATATGACTTATGACCTTGAAAGCAGAAAGTTGAAGGGGTTCTTGAATTTCTTCAAGTATCTAGCAGGCAGTACTCTAGGTGCTAGGTGCTAGGTGCTCATGTATTCACGACTTTCTTTATTCCACAAACACCAAAAGCCAAGCATTGTTCTAGGCACCGAGGACACAAAGGTAATAAGATACCGTTTCCCTCTTTAATATGCTTATTAGGGATTCAACACAACATGAAATAATTTGCAAATGACAGGAGTGGTAATCTGACCATCCTCAGCTAACAATTAGGTTTCATTATACCTTCTAATCCTGCCCTCACGAATCAAGGTAATTACTTGGCAATCTGGCTAGGTCTTGTAAGGCAGAAGAGCTGTTCATGTCCTGTGTCAAATGGTGAGCAAGGAGGGAGAGGAAAAGGGTAAATTACCTTGCCTCCCATCTGTGCCCAGTCAGCTCTAAATCTCCAGGAAAGATGCACTCAGGATTGCCAAAGAAAGATCCTTCCAGCTGTGCATCTAAAAGTAGGATTTTGTGCAGTCAAGAAGGGGCTGGCTACAGTAAGTGTGTAAGCACACCTGAAACTCGGCGTTGAGCCTTCATGTTTGGGAGAGAGTGGGTGCACTTCTAATGGATTTAAAAGGTTACCTTACCTCCCCCAATTGTACACAGAGCAGGCTGAGCTGGGCTCTGATGGTCTGACCGTGGCATGTGTTGCACATCTTAAAGATGGCCTGTGAAATGGAAAACACCTCTGCTTGTTCAAGCTCCAGTGCCATTCTGGTGTCTTACCAGACAATGCAACAATGTCAAACCTGCTGAGATTTCAAAATTGTTCTCAGCAGAGGAGAGACTCAAAGATGGGACAAATGAGTTAAGTGCCCCTTAAAACTGCAAATAAACAAAATGGGTGGAGGGTAGCCAGCGTATTGTAGTAATTAGGAGTGTAGCCTCTGGAGTGGGTCTGCTTGAGTTGGAATCCCAACTCTACAACTGACCAGTTGTGTGATTTTGGACGAATCTCTTAACCTCTCTATGCCTCAGCTCTTAATGAAAATACCAACAGTCCTTAGAAGTGTTCTTGTGAGTATTAAGTGAGTTAGTATTTATTAGATACTTGGGATAGTGTCTGGCAATAATTAGCAACACATAAGTGATTTTTAAATTAAATATTTTTTAACACTAACCTTTTTTTACCTTCATCTTTTTAAAAAAAGAAAATAGGGCATGTAGGCCCATCAGTAACCTCACAAAGCACAGGAACCCCTTTATGACTTCATCATTATTTGGAGCCAACTCTTGATTTCCAGCAGTCTACTGAGCAGTATTATCATTCATAGGAAAAGAAAATGGGTAAGTTTTGTCGTACGTAGTAAATTTTTATACTTACTACTCTCTTAAATGGAAGAAAGACATCCAAAGGAAAAAAAAAATCTTTCCCAAATGATACTTGAATAAACCTGAATAAATGAAAGCTCTGTAGGTAATGTAAGCCTCTGCACAGAGCGACACAAATGGTACACCATTAATGAGTGTCACGTGCAGTCCTGTGGGGAGAGAAATTCCCCAAATTGGCCCTCTTTATGCCTTGTTTCCGCCTTTATGTGCAATTTCATCTTTCTGGGGCCTATATAAATTTCTCTCAGCCTGTATTATCTTCTCATTATGAGCGAGCGGCCATAATGACAGCCACCTGTTTTAATGACAGAGCCAGGATGTCATCATTTTCAGCAGAGTGTTGTTAATCTAAGTAACCTTTCCCTTCAGGAATGCCATCCCCACCCTCATGCAGTTACGAGTCATTTCCAGAGCACCTGTTCCCCCTCTAGTTTTAAAAGGTAAATTCCTCCCAGAGGGGGCCCCCTGCGCCTTACCCCAATCCCCCGCCGTGTTATCTGTATAAATCTTGCACTTTTGGTCGCTATGGTTTTCTCAATCAAACCAGCAGGGGGAAAAAGTGGAAGATGGAAACCTATTGTTTGAGAATGCACATTAACATACTATAATAACCCAGTCAGAAATTTGTCAACAGAGTTAACTGGCACCTTCCTGGGCTTCTGTCCTAGAACAGCTGCTGACAGGCCCTTGCGTCACCTCCTTCTGGACATCAGGTATCTGGCATCCACAGCCCCATGGGGTTTAATGCCAGAGACTGCCATGAACACCAGTTGCCACTCAGATCCGCCCAGGGGCTCCTAGAGCTCTCGCCACCTCCATTTAGCCTGAGCCACATTCCCAGGCTCACTGACATCGTCTTGTCAGCTAGGCACGGAGTTTGCCAATGTCAGAGCTGTTCTAACAAGCCCAGCAAGCCCACGTGGCGCTCAACTTGCCCACAGTCCTCGAGACACAGCGTGGTATAAACTGGAGACTCACAGGCCTCAGGTCAGGGGCTGGCTCCTCCTTTTACCAGCGGAAAGACCACAGGCAAGTCTTGTCACTACTCTGACAGAACGCTGTGGTGAGGACAGGTGACATACGCCGGGGTCTGGTAAGGAGCAGATTCTCAGCATGTGTTACCTGCTTTCCTCCTTCTCCTGAACGCCTATGTCTTGACCATCCTCCAAGGCCCAGCTTGAGTCCCACCTCCTCCATGAAGCCTTCCTTGCCTCACCAGCCCTCACTGCTCTCTTCCTGGCCGCATTAGGAACGTCTTCCCCTCTTCATCTTTCTTTTCTTTTGTCCGTGCTGCTGTGCATAACTCCTCATCCCACTGCAGAAATGCATGTGGCAAGGCAGGAGGGAGCTGTCCCATCTGCCACCCTCCAACCTTGTTCTTCCTACCCCAGTGTCAGGCTCATTAGCTGCTCCGGAGCCATCGTCCTACTGTTCTAGTCTATTCTTGGGTTGAATGTCAAGGAGACCTATCGAGGCTGCCAGTCCCACAGATTGACCTGAATCCACACACATCTTTTTCTCCTTTCACCCTGCTTGCGTGCAAGCGTTGGCTGTCCTCTCTCAGGCTAATCCTCCCACCTGTGCCCTGGGTTCCATGCCCTCTTGCCTTCTTTGGGACTGCCCCTTTCCTCTACCCTCTCTACCAATTCCTTCTATGCATTTAAACATGTGTAAGTCTCTCCTATCTTTAAGAAGCATCCTACCTCAAAGTCCATTATGTCCCACCAGCTACCACTGCCTCTCTCTTGTTCCCTTTGAAGCTGAGCATCTTGACTGAATCTTGTAGATTTGCTCACTTCCAACTCACTTTGAAAGCCACTCCAATCTGGCTACCTTCTTACCTCTTAGGTTAATACTTCTGCTGGATACAGCTTCTTCACTGTTCCTTAGCACATGTGTAATTACTGAGCTGCTAGCCAAGGCCCTTCGCTCTTTGCACGCAAAATACTTTCCCCAGGTCAAAAATGGCCCCACGCTTCAAAGATAATGTTTGGTAATGACTTCTGAAATTATATCTACACCAGGTGAAGGAGTGTTTCAAGAAGAAAGAAGTGGTCAATGGTATTGAATACTGCCAAGAGACTAAGCAATTTGTGCACTGAAGTGTCTACACAAGGGATTGGATTTAGCTATTCATAGGTTACTGGCAACCTCTGTAAGGTTTTATTGGTGGGGTTAGGGCAAATCTCTCATTCTGCAGATCAGCTAGCTAAATCCAATCAGGCAAAGTGACTGAAGAGACTCCAAGTTGCATACCTAGATAGATCCAGTCTAGAATAGGGACTCTTGACTTCCATTTAAATTGTACCCAAGACATACTATGTCATTTCATAGTGAATATAGACTGAGCTTTCCTTCTCCTGTGTGGGCAGAGCACTACCCTTTAAGGCATGGCTAGCCCACCCTCAGATGGTCAAGTTACAGAGTCAACCCATTAAGGAGCCATCTTGGTGACCAACTTAGTTTTGGTGGTAGGTGGTAGAACTAGTTTTTTGAGAATAGTGTTTTGCCCAGGGCTTGAGAGTCCTTCTAGAGCCTCACAATATTTCCTAATCTAGTTGTAGGTCAGTTTCCCTTTTGTTCCCTATCATAATTCACTCATTCTAGTAAGAAGTGCACACTTAAGTTTCTGCTCCTGCCAACTTCTCTAGGTCCCAGATCCACATGCCTTTCTCCTTTCAGAGCTCAACCAAGTTTCCTGCCATCCTGCAGAGATAGTGATACCCGTCTCTTGACCCACTAGAGCAGATATAGGGTCCTGCCTTGAGCCCACCCTTGGCTTGACCTCTGGTTCCTCCTTGGCAATTAGGTGTCACTTGCTTGGTGGCACTTATTTGTTTTATGTAGCTGTTTTGGGCAGCTGGGAAGTGAGTCTAGCATCCAAGTACAATCTTAGCATTAATGAATTCCCAAAATATCTTTTTTTTCTGGGGTAAATTGACTTTATAACTACCACCATTGCCAACCAAAAATTAAGTCAATAAATCAGGATGAGGAAATTGTCAGGAGTAGCTAGGAGTCCTGCAAGAAGAAAGCAAATGTTTATGGGTTGAACTACCATACTACTCTGTAACTGGTCTGCCATCCAGTTCCAGGGCCAAGGGGAGGCCCAGAGAGAGAGAGAGAGAGAGACAGCATCAGGCTCCAGGGGCATGAAAACACTTCAGTACTCTTGGTCCATGTTGGACCTGGCGTCTCCGTAGCACATTTCCAAACTCCTCCAGGAAAAAAGAAAGTAGTCATTGCCAAGTTCTTTCTGCGCATGTTTTTGGCAAGGAATAAGCATTTATAACTTACTAACTCTTTGCTGATACCATCAAACTCTGCATACTTGATGCTGCTTTCCCACATGCCCCATTTTCCTCTGCTGTGATTTCTCTAGAACATCACTCAGGCCCCAGGAAAAGAGACAAAAGGACATTCGGACTGTAAGTTGTGAAGTTAACACAGTTGTCATAGTTAGTGCTGTTTGGTAGAGAAATGGCCTTTTGAGGTTTTTACATTCGCTGAATCAACGAACAGTCATGAGTGCTACAAAAGTTAGAGACGATCAAAACCAGCAAATAAGCCAAAAAATACTTATTTTTGGAAAGAATCCCTCCCTCCAACCTCCTCCCAACATACACACACACTACAGCCACATATAAAACACACAATCAGATCCATGCTTGGCTAAAGAGAAACACTCCCAGGTGATAACTACCTATTTGCACAATAAGAACTATCAGAATAATAAATGCAAGCAATCACATTGCTGTTTCCAGCTCTTCCTATGCTTAGTGTCAGGTATTTGAAATATCTGTGTGATTTACAGAACATGGTACTGTTCAATCAAATATGTTAGTAGAATGTACGCAAAGCCACTTGTGTTATACTGAACGTCTTGAAATCTGCAAACATCCAGGTAATCAAAGTAATCTTTCCATTTTTGTCTGGATGTTGGACACTTACTGTCCTTACTTTAGACCTGCACTTCCCAGTTCACCCCACTTCTCCTCCTCCACAACCAAGAAGCAAGGCATTTCTCCTGTTTTCTAGTCCAGGACTTAGCGTGGATAATTCACACAGCTCTTTAATGATTCATTGATAACTGGGAATCGACTGGAATATTGGGAACTCAGATATACTGAATAATCAAAGATCAACATACTGTTAATCTTTTAAAAAATTATGTGGATATAATGTAACTATTGATGTCAAAAGTTGAAGTCCCCTAGTGCCAACCTTTGGAGTTGAGGTAGTTGATACACAGAGCTATTTGCTCTCTCATGCCTACCTTCCCTTTTCTTTTCTCATCTCCTCATTCATAATAAATCTGGCAAGCATAAAATTTAGATATTAGCTTGGGGACCTAAGTCAGGAGTGAAATGCCGTTTTCAAAAACTATCTCTAATCTTTGATCTACCTATGTTGTTGGCTGACTCGCAGCCCAGGCTGGCTCTTCCAATTCTACTTGAGTCGTGCATTTTTCTCCCTCCTGGTCTTCCTCTCTTCTTTTCTTCATTAAGCACCTGCTTCATGTTAAGGATCTGCTAGGTACCAGGGAATACAATAGTGACCACACTGATAAGATACTGTGAATGCCCAGCTTGTATGCCCTCAGCTTGTCCTGAAGGTGACCTGCAGATCCTTCCTTAGAAACCTATGGATTCCTGCCTCATTCTACCTTTCAGAGGGAGCTTTCCCAGGCTCTAGGAGTGCTTAACCTGAGCATGGGGAAGACGGAAGTGTTCAAGAACTAATGCCCCTGGAGTGACGTCAACCACTGGACAACGCATTACGGAAAATACCACAGCTTGCTTGCCTTCAGTTAGACAGCATTCGACAGGGTCCCGGTGGGTTTGAGCCCCCTTGCTCAGGGAGTAGCTCACTCATGAACATATGCTTTACTGGCTGTCCTCCCATCCTGCCTCACTTCCCCACTCCCTCATGTCCTTGGACTTCAATCCTTGTCTCAGGGTCTACTTTGGGGGAACTCATTGACCTTACAGACGCATCAGGGAGACACAGGAAAGTAACTCCAAATTGTCACACAACTCCTATTTTCCAAGTAGGAAAATAGCAGAATGCTATATAATTCAAATTGAGAATCATCTAAACCCAAGTTGCCTGGTATGTTTGCAAGGGTATTTTAACATATCCCTAAGCGTCACAAAAATCCATAAAGCATTCAGCTAAATGAAATTTGAAGGACATAGAAAACACAGGCATATTCTCCAAAAGAATTATCATGCAATACCTTAAATATAATGCACCAGCATTTTTCATCCTCTAAATTTAAAGATAATCCTTTGGTATTTGGGTCTTTGGGCTGACTGTGCTGCTCAGCTTTTTGTTAAACCTAAATAACATTTCCTATTCTGCAAAATAGTGTAATACCCTGAATCAAACCAATTCCACTTGGTAAACTTTACTTGAATGCTATTTTTCATCAACATCACATGCCCATTAGAAAAGAAAGAACAGCTGGCTTTTCACTAAAGTGATTATTTTTCATTATTGAATTCTGAATATTCAGTGTTACCTCTCTCTCTATCTCTCTGGAGTCATTCCAGATTAGATTGCTATATCCAAGACATCTCAGTTTGCTTTAGTTGAGGGGATAGGATGAATGGGAATGGGGTGAAAGGAGAGAAACCATATTGCTTCTATAATACTTTCAGCTTCATGGAATAAATGAAACAAAGACAATTTTAACATCTATGGCGTCAATAAATGTCATTTTCAGGGAATCTGCTATAGAGCCTGTGAAGTGACTGTAGCTTTGAAGCTGATTCCTGAATATAAATGTGAATATATATAGTCATACTGTCATACGACCTAGACCTCTACTGTCTACAGTCACCAGAACAGAATGAGAGTATCTGGAAACTCAATTATGTGACATAAATAAGACTTCATATTTATAAAATAAAAACTTTCTAATAGCAAAACTTCTGGTCTCTCCTTCAGCGATAGGTACTCATCATAAACTTAGAATTGAAAATCAAATCTTTATTGGTATTGTATCCTAAACTCATACAGGCTTGATACCATAATATCACCTTTATACAGTTCTTTTCAATCCACAGGCTTCTACAGTGGTTTTCCAGTAACTCAAGGGTTTGAAAAGAAATTACTCCTGCAGTGGCAGTTTCTAAAATGCTTTGCAGCATCTCCTCAGAAAGTAAATGGCAAAAAGCCAACCAGAGATAAGGCAGAATAATATAAATAAAAGCATCATATTCCTAAAGATACGGGTGTAGAACTGGGAAAGTGACCGTTACTTCTATCAAATAGGATGTGCCTGGGGGCCCTCATGGCCCTTGCTGCTCATAGGGTGGTCCACAGAACCCTCACAACTCCTACGGGAGCTGTTGGAAATGCAGAATTTCGGGTCTCACCCCCGACCAACTGAATCCCAATACGCATTTCAATAAAATCCTCTGGTGATTTACACGCACATGTAAATTTGAGAAGCACTATTGTACAACACGATATAACATGATATAAATGGAAAGACTGGAAATGAAGTTTTTGTCTCCAGAGGTGGGTGGGCGAGGGAGATAAAAGTTACCAGAGAAGTGGGGGGAAAAAGGTACAGACAACCAGAAAATAGAGAAAGGGCTCCATAGAGCCAAGAACAGGCCCTGAAATGGTAACTGGACTCCATCCACACCAAGCAAATATTGGCCTGCCCAGCAAGCCTAAATTGTGTGGTTATCATGACTTGCTTTTGACTCTCTGATGCTCAGTCTATTCATCTGTGAAACAAGGAGATGACACAAAACAAGTTCCATCTAAGCTCTAAGGTCCTACGATTTCACACACAAAAAATAACAGGCTAGGCGTACATTAGGACGGAGAACGTTCACATATCAAGAATATTTGCACAATTCTTATGCAGATTACTTTGTGATTTTGGACAATTTTTATGTTAAAATGTGGTTATTGCTCTACTGAGAGTAACCATTTCTTTTTTTTTTTTTTAGGAAAAGTATTTGTTTATTAAGCTTTTTTTAATTAATTTTTTTTGAGTGAGAGTAATCATTTCTTTACCTCTGTTCCTTCTAAAGGTGTTATTGCTTCTTTCTACTTTAAAAAAGTCAACTACAATGCACATGTATAGCCAAGACAGGAGAGACCCCAGTGAGAGTGGAAGAGGAAGAGAAAAGAGTGAAGTGTGTAAGAAATCTTTGCAGTCATTGGGTTATGAGAAATCACGATAATGACTCTGACTTCATCCTGTTCTCCAGTCCTTAGTTCCTTTCACAAGGTCTCATTTTCAAGTCTACAGTCCTGTTGTCGGTTACTATAGCTAGAAACAGGAGCATAACTTTTTCGCCCTCACAAGCATCTCTGTGCGATGTTTGAATGGCCATGTACATTACAAAATTTAAAATCTACATGGCTTAACAACCTCTGGGCTGACAACACTGTATAAGCTCCTTTATGACCTATTTTTCCTTAAACTGTTATACTTCAAGTTGTCCCAAAGCATCCCCAAACTAATCTCTGCACTTTTATTATTTATTTATTATTAATATTATTATTATCTATTATTGCTTTTAACATTAATAACATTTAATTGCCCAAATTTATAATATTTAGGCAATACTGGAGCTAGGTTACAAAATGAAGAGCTAAAATATTGCATTAAACTTCGGTTTCAAGTCACCCTGGTCTTAGGGAGAAACTGTTGCCATATGGAAGCAGAACTTGGATAGAGCTTTCTCAGCTGAACACTGTCAGCTGCCAGAGCTTCAGGCAAGAACTCAGAAAAGACGAAACTTCAGACCTGACGGAATTAGCCAAGAAGCACCAGGCCAAGACGAGGAAGGCCAAGTGAGAGCAGGCAGCATACACAATTCCGTTGCCAACAGAACCCCTCTAAGAGTGTCATGGACCAAATTTTCATAATGAAAGTCAAGAACAAGATGGCAATTGAGGTGGACACTTAAAAGGGAATATAGTCTGTATGTAGGTCATCCCACAGAACTCCTTTTTTTATTTTCCTGAGAAATTGCCAGAATGAATTAGAAACCATTTGGGTATTACACTTATCTCTGCCTCAACCTTATTTGTCCTCAAGGACTGCCTATCAAATTGCATCTTGCCTAATTTGGCAAGGGATGCCACCATGAAAGACAACTGCAAAAATCTGTTTGTATGTACAAAACGACTTCAACTAAACTTCCATGAAAACAACTCCCAAGACACTTTATTACTCAACACTCAACCTTCCCGTTCCACATCCCAAAGTGCCTCTCACCCCTCCGCCAGAAATGTTCATCTGGCCTTTATCTCAAACGCAATATAAAACAACCCTCTTCCTGCCTCCACAATTCCCAACCAGCTCTTCCTCTAAACCTCCCTGGTTTCTGCAGGTGACACCATGACATTCCCAAACTGGAAACTGGGCCATCGTTTGGATTGCTTTCTCCTTCATCACCTGAGTTTGAGCAGGTAATATTGATTTGTTTTTTTCCAGTATTTTCTGTAGTCCACCACCGCTTTTTTCTTCCTACAATGACCAGTCTAGTTCATACATTTGTTATCCTCACTTGAACTATTTAAAGCAACTATTTATAAGAAAAAGCCTTAACTCCTAGTTACTCATTAATTCATTTGGCACATATTTGAGCACCTATGGTCTGTGGGCACTGTGGTAGGGGTTGTGCTATGGAAAGGTGAGCAGAATGGACTTGGTCCTAGTCCTCAGGGAGTTTATGGGCTGGTGGAGCTCTTCTCATTGTAATCCACTTCGCAGGACACCATCAGATTGACCTTGCTAACACACTCTTTGAATTATATGTTTGTCTTAGTCAAATGCCTCCAATGGCCTCCTGAACACAAGACAAAGCAAACCCAAAGCAAAACTCTTCCATCATTTTAAAGCTTGCAAGCTGGCTTCTACCTACTTCTCTAATCTCATATTTCATTATTCTCTCAACAGGCCATCTGGTTAAAACCAGCTGGTTGAATCTCCACTTCAAGATACACCATATTCCTTCGTCTTTGCTTTATTACTGCTGTTTCTTTTCCAAGAAGATCTACATCCTCCATTGTGATATTTTTGTAATTGCCATACAAAAATTGTTCTCTCTCTCCTCTAAGCTTAAATATTTGGTCAATTTATATGGTACTTAATGTATTCAATAAAAATGTTTTCAGCTCATCATGTGACAGACTTTGTGCGAAACACTGGGATCTAAGAAGAACATGCTTTCTCCTCCTATAATTCTGATTTCCACTTTTAGAACAGGTTCTTTATTTTTTTTAAAGATTGGCACCTGGGCTAACAACTGTTGCCAATCTTTTTTTTTTTTCTGCTTTATCTCCCCAAACTCCCCCTGTACATAGTTGTCTATCTTAGTTGCAGGTCCTTCTAGTTGTGGGATGTGGGACGCCGCCTCAATGTGGCCTGATGAGCAGTGCCATGTCCGCGCCTAGGATCTGAACCCTGGGCCGCCGCAGCGGAGCGCGCGAACTTAACCACTCGGCCACGGAGCCGGCCCCATGATCTTTCGGTTCTTAAAGGCAGGGCTCATCAAACCCTGCATCCTCCGTAAGACCTCATACATTTCCTTGTTCATGTGGGTGCTCAATCATGCAACTGGTAAGAACGATACTGTTAACGTCAACAGATGCATTTTGAAGCTTCATTATTTATTATGTCCATAAGCATCTTCATTATTCATTAAACATTTATTTAAATTGTGAGCTAACCACAGAAACCCATTTCACGGAAAGCCTAATTTGGGAAGGATTTGTCTACTTTGGAACGGGAACTTGGTGCACTATAATGAATTACAAGCCACCAGGTGTCACTCTTGTAGATGCTAGCCTGAGATCCACAGGTCTGAATCTGGGTGAGGGAGGGTCTCAAATGCTATATTGTGGTGGTAAAGCAGAATTTCCGCTTATTCACTGGATAATCATGCTCCCGATATGGATTTCTCTTCAGAATCCTTTAAGTGGCTAAGCATTACTCCTTAAAGTTACGCCCTCCCTCCTCTCTGAAAGCATGACAAATGGAGGGTTAAGGATGAATAGTCAGGCTAAATGGTGAATTTATTTTCTCTGTTGGCTTGTGTCACCGCCTCAGTTTGGTTTTATATAGTGTTATGTGAGTTTAATGTTGCTTATTTGAAAAATGAAAACAACATAGGATGCTTGAGTGGTTTGGGTCCAAAAGGAAATCTGTATATTTGCCAGAAAGAAGGAAAAGGGAAATCTGTAATAGAAACATTTACAAAACCTAATCTGAAAAGAAAGGTTTACAAGGTTTAAAAACATGTATGCATAAATGAGAATGAATTTTATTAATTTATATGCTCCTGGTAGCTTGAAAATTCCAAACATCAATGGAGGCAAATGTTTAAGAAGGTGTAAAAACCAAACCAACCCTGAACAGGGAGAGAAACTCTCCCAGCTGGTGTTTTGTGAAAGCTCAGTGGACAGCAAAATCTGAAACCCTTCAGGGAAGCCAGAGAAACTTCCCTCCTAACATGCCTGTGCTTTATACAACAAAGCCTCATTAAGTAAAGATGAGAAAATTGTATTTAACAGATAATTTTATCTTGGCGGTGTCCCTTTAAATACAAAAGAAAATGAACGATGGAAGGTTATGAAACAAAATTATTTACCCAAGAGGCTCTTAGGAAGCTTAAGCCAGGATTCTCTTTTCGTTCTGCATTGGCTCGCCTTCCTGCAGGCTGTGTATTTGTGTGTGCATGTGTGCATGCATGTGTGTGTGCATGCATCTGTGAGTGTGTGTGCCTGTGTGAGTGCATGTGGATGTGTGTATGCACGTGCATCTGTGTGTGTGTGTTCTCCCTTTAATCCTCTCAAGAAGTGTGACTTTTACATAGCAAATAAGAAATTCTAATTGCAAAATTATGTCTTCCACGGAAACCATTTTCTACTCCTTTGCTCTAGAAACTCTGAAGATACGAACGCTTCCACAAACAGAATGAATAAAGCCCCAATTCTCTACGGTGACAAATTCAGGAAATGGCAGGTTTTCTCTTAAAGGAACTCAACTGCTCACAAAAGCTCTCATGTGCAAATAATGGAATTCTCAAATTGGGATAAATGTGCTTTTAAGAATTTTTATTTTGATCATTTCAGGTAACACTTGTGGATAATACAATATAGATTTGAATTACTAAGCAGATAAGGAAAATCTAAAAGGAAAAAAATTAGGGCAGGCCTTTATTAAATTTTAAAGTATGCCTTTGCTATACTCTTATAAAAAGCCAAATAGAGTATCAAAATCTCTGGAGATCACTAGTATAATTTCTTTATCATGTTCCATTTAAAATTTAATTATGCAGTCTACAACAAGAAGAATCTGGGCAGCTTAAATAGGTCATGCAGTGAGTAAGTTAACAATATTCTCAAGTTTTCCTTGTAAAGATGGTTCCTTTGATAGTCTGTTGTACATCAAAACACTATATTATAAAACAAGTATAATTTAATTCAGTCACTATGGACTCTAATATATATCTATTAAGAATGAAATGTTTTGATTTAGGTAATTTGGAGAATTAATGAAAACCATGTTCTTGATCGAGCTGCCCATGATGGATGAGCAGTATTGCATATACATTATCTTTGGGTAATTGTTATTTACATGTATTATAGCAAGGTCAAGGGAATTTTATATTTAATGTGTGGGGTATTTTGCTTTAGATCAATAATCATTCATAGCAAGGCAAAAAATCTATCCACTGAATAATTAATATATGAATTACAGGTTGATATGGCCTATGGCTTGATACACCTTCATTCCCCACCTCAAATTTTAACTAGCATGCAGGTTTCATCTGCTTATAATAAAATAACAAAGTAAACACTGTTCTGAGAACTTTACACGTATCACTTCATTTCATTCTTAGAACAATTGGTCCTACTATCACCCCCATTTTACAGATAAAGAAAACGAGGCACAGAAAAGTTAAGAAACTTACCCAAGGTCACCAAACTGGGATTTGAATACATGCTGGAGTTTGGCTCCAGAGCATACGGGCTGAACCACCTCACTAGGCTTCTTCTTATAGTGCAAGAAGGCATCTTGTCTTAGACCAGATGCTGCTCAAGTGCTGGTAGAAATACTGATCATAAAGCTATCTTTGAATGAGCCACTATAATAGCTACCGTGTATTGATGGTTTTCTGTGTGCCAGACACTGAGCGAAATACTTTACGTGGATTATCTTCTCCAGTGACACTATGAGGTGGGTACCATAATTATTCTAAATCTACAAATGAAAAACTGAGACAGAGATAGTAACTAACTTGCTCAAGTTCACATGACTAAGATACAGCAGACACAAGATTTGAGCATGTCTGAGCCCAAAGCCCAATCTCTTAGCCTCTGTGATAACATACACTCAACAGCAACTGCTCCAAACAGCTTGTCAAGCGTCAAATTTGGGTGAATAACTTTCCAGCCAATAAGATGAATTTTTCTGAATGCCAGGAGTATACAGCAGTGAGCAGAGTGGGAAGGTGAGAGAAGGCAGAAATCATACATCTGGTCTACCACTGGTTCTTTGGGAGCAGGTTTCTTCAATGCTTCCTCCCTCTCTTCCTATTATAGGCTGAATGTTTGTGTCCATTCCCCCTGCCCTCCCCAGCCAAATCCGTATGTTGAAGCCCCAACCCCTAATGTGATGGAATTAGGAGGTGGGGCTTTTGGGAGGTAATTAGTTTTCGATGAGGTCATGAGGGTGGGGTCCTCATGATGGGATTAGAGCTCTTATAAGAGGAGACCAAAAAAAAAAAAAAAACCAAACAGAAAAAGAAAGAAGCCAGAGAGCTTGCTCTTTACCCCCACCCCTAGTCATGTGAGGATACAGCAAAAAGGCAGCTATCTGCAAACCAGGAAGCCAGGAAGTGGGTCTTTACCCAGACACTGGGTCTGCCGGCACCTCCATCTTGGATCTCCCAGCTTCCAGAACTTTGAGAAATAAATGTTTGTTATTTAAGCCACCCAATCTATGGTATTTTGTTATAGCAGCTGGAGCAAACCAAGACATTTTCCAATTCAAACTTTTCTTCATTTATGCAAACATCTGTTTGCTCAGATGGTCAAAGACTTATGATATTTATCAGGGACGTGCTATGTTCCAGGCACTGCGGATAAATGACGAACGATAAGAGATGGAGGTAGTGGACAAATTAAAGATAAATTTTGGAGGTTGAGCCGATTGACTTTGCTGATGAATGGAAAGACAATATCTATGATTCTAGGTTCTCATTTGAGCAGTTGGGTTCATGGTGGTAAGGCGGGTGGGGGTGATTCAAGAGTTCTCCTTTTTGCCACATCAAGTTTAAGATTATATATCCAAACGGAGATGTTCAATTGACAGCTGAGAATTCAGATTTGAGCTCTGAAGATTTGAAGAAGTGGGGCTGGAGATATCAAGATGGGAACTACCCACATAAGATGATCTTTAAGATTGTGGAACTAGATGCAATCACTTCCCACATCTTCTCTACACGTGAAGAGAGGAATGGCCAAGGGAAGCCCTGGGACTTCAGCATGTAGAGTCAAGCAGGGGAGGAAGAACAGACAGGAAGACTGAGGAAGGATGGCCAGTGAGAAAGGAAGAAATCCAGGAGAGTTTGGCATGCCAGAAACTAAGAAGGCATTTCATGGAGAAGGAAGGAGTCCCTACTTAATGCAGCTGAGAGGCCAAATAAGAGAACAGATAAAAGGCCATTGGATTTAGCCAGATGAAGGCTGCTATTGACCTTGACTGGGCCAGTTTAGTGGAATGAAAGGGTCAGAAGCCTGGCTGGAATAGGTTGAGGAGAAAATGATGAAAGAAGAACGCTTTGGCAGACATCATTCCTTAAGTACGTAAAAGCCATTTCCCCCTACTCTGAGTCCTACCTTCCTCCTTGATGGCAGACTATGTCCCCCGTTATAAAGGCTGCACATACCAGAAACCCAATTTCCCCTCCCTAAGAGCTTAGGCATGGGCATGAAATTCTTCCCTAAAACAGAGATACATATGAAGAAATGCCTTCTTCACAGGATGTGGTCAGATCTCCATGTGATGGCTGGAACTGCTGAAGTCATATTGTGAGCATGAGGTGTGCCATACCCAACATGCTAAGGATGGCAGAGGAGAGAGAGAATGTACCAGAATGCCAAATTAACCTTGGGCTTTCTCTGACCTCTTGAACTATAGCTACAAACTCAATCTGCATTTTTCAGCCTGATAAAGGTACAGTGCCTT